CTATATATATATATATATATATATATATATATATAAAAGTAGGGGCCTAATCAAATGAGAACTAATTAGTTTGTGGTAACCGTGATGTCCAATCTCAACCGCAAATCAATAGATAAATTAGGAAATTTTTAATTTTGGTAATTTTTAATTAAAATTTTAATGCATGGGTATTTTAGATATTTTCTCTCATCTGCCCTATCTCCTCTCTTCTCTCTCCGTCCCCCGACCTCCGGCCACCATCCTCCGGCCACCGTCCTCCGATGATACCACAGTGGTATCACAATGCATCATATATGTGATTGGGTATCACACTGTGGTCGTTTGTGTGGTCAATCGGATATGTAACACAGTGGTATCACAATGCATCTTATATGTGCTTGAGTATCACACTGTGGTATCACCGGAGGACGGTGGCCGGAGGGCGGTGGCCTGAAGACGGGCCAGAGAGAGAAGAGAGGAGAGAGGAGAGAGGAGAGAAAATACGTAAAGTTTTCTTGCATTAAAATTTTAATTAAAAATTACCAAAATTATAAATTTTCTAATTTATCTATTGATTTGTGGTTGAGATTGGATCTCACGGTTGCCACAAACTAGTCAGTTCTTCCTTGAATGTGCCCCTATACAAGTGTATATATATATATATATATATATATATATCTTAAGAGAAAATTTCAATTCATCGTCCGCCTCATTTTCTCATGTTCTCTCTCTCTCTCTCTAAACTCTATACTCTTTCTTTAAATTCTCTCAATTTACTAAGGGAATCGATGTAACAATTATATATTCGGAATCTACTCTTCGAACCATTGTTAAAGGTATAATTTCTTTCGTTTTTAGTAGGGTGTTTATGTTAGGATATTTGAGGTTGGTTTATAATTGTGTTTATGATTTATATATGAGTTAGTATTTACAATATATGGTTAAATACATGTTTTGGAATGATTGGATTAGCTAAAATCTATATATATTAAAGGAAAACCTTGGAGTGATGACATGACATTATTAAGGAATGGTTTCTTCTAAATTCTCTCAAAAATTTGATTTTTTAAAAATGTTTAATATGTTAAAAGACTTTTATATCCCTATATGTAATTTATGCTTTCATTAAAAGCATGGGGATTGTTGTTCTTCGACATGCATATTGCAATTTATGTTAATTAGCTTTTCATTTTCCTGTCTTTATGTTGATGAACTATTCATTTTCTCTTATTTATTTCACATTATGATTTTTCATTTTTAGTTGGCTACCTAATGGTTTGAGTTGTTGGCAAACCACTTTTCTCTCATACTTTCTCTTACTATATTTGATCAATCAAAGGTATGAATATGTTATTTGATGTTATATCTATTTCATTGCCGAAATAAGCTATAAAAATATTTGAACATGTTGAAGAACATGAAAGCTTCATGGATAATGTACATATATATTATTACATGTAAGTCATTCAATCTACTATTACTCTAATCTCAATTTAAAATTTATTTTGTTTCTTTTGTAATTTCTTGATTTATTATTACCCTAATTTTCATTTCTATTTTTCCCCTCAAAAGTCACCACAACGCTAATAGAACATTTGAATATTGTTTATTATAATATGACATTGTTAGTAGCAAAAACGATAGTAAAATCTACATTTTAGTTTTGATTCTTAAGTTGTTATACAGTAATAAATGTTTTAATGTTGCATTTGAGAAATTAAGATTCTAAGAAAGTATAAACTTTGTTTAATCGCCGATTAAACAAAGTTTATATTTTCTTAAAATATTGTCTTTATGACCTTCAACTATTTTTAATTAATCATGATTAAAAATAGATTAATTGTTTTTTTTTATGAATTTAGTTATTTGTTTTATACAATTTCACAATGAAGTTATACTACAATCTAATGGGATCAATACCATTATCATCAAAGTTATAGAGGATGGAGTTGTAAC